ACTTGCATTACCCAAACAGGGTATGGGGTACGATGTCTATAGTGATGCGAGCATCCAAGGGCTTGGATGTGTGTTGATGCAGAATGGGAGGGTGATTGCCTATGCTTCACGACAGTTGAAGAAGCATGAGGTAAATTATCCTACTCATGATCTGGAGTTGGGGGCAGTGGTATTTGCACTAAAGATTTGGAGACATTATCTCTACGGGGAGACATGTCACATATACACTGACCACAAAAGCTTGAAGTACGTGTTTACTCAAAAAGAGTTAAACATGAGTCAGAGACGGTGGATGGAGTTGATAAAAGACTACCATCTAGTCATTGAGTACCACCCCGGTAAAGCCAACGTGGTAGCGGATGCCTTGAGCTGAAAGAGCTCCTCCGGGACATTGTTGACTAGCTTGAGGGAATTGAGAGGCCAATTGGAGGTAGCTAACGATGGTGCCTTGTTAGAAAGATTCGAGGTGAGACCTACATTACTTGATGAAATCAAGAAGGGTCAAGAAATTGACGAAGAGCTTATGAAGGTCCGTGAACGCATGCTTGCGGGACCGGTTGAGGATTTCAGGGAAAGAGACGATGGTCTCTTATTGTTTCGTGACCGAGTGTGTGTACCGTCGGATGATGAGCTTCGGAAGTCCATCTTAGAGGAGGCTCATTCATCGGCGTATGCCATGAATCCGGGAGACACGAAAATGTACCGTGATTTGAAAGAAAGTTACTGGTGGTCTGGTATGAAGAGGGAAATAACCGAGTACATCAGTAGGTGTCTTACTTGTCATCAAGTTAAGGCAGAACATTAGCATCCAGCTGGGTTATTACAGTCACTCTCCATTCCTGAATGGAAATGGGATCATGTGACTATGGATTTTGTGGTAGGGCTACCACGGACAGTTAAGAACTATGATGCGGTTTGGGTTGTGGTTGATAGGCTCACGAAGAGTGCCCATTTTCTACCTATCAACACCACCTATGCACTGGAGAGGATAGCCAAGTTGTATGTGGATGAGATCGTGAGGCTACATGGGGTTCCAATAACCATTGTATCCGATAGAGATCCACGATTCACATCACGATTTTGGCCGAAGTTCCAAGAATCTATGGGGACAAAGCTGAAGTTTAGCACTGCTTTTCATCCAGAGACGGATGGACAATCTGAGCGGGTTATACAAATTCTGAAAAATATGTTGAGAGCTTGTGCATTGGAGTTCTAAGAGAGTTGGGACAACCATTTGGCATTTGTGGAGTTTGCCTATAACAACAGTTATCAGGCGAGTATTGGCATGCCTCCATACGAGGCATTGTATGGGAGGAGATGTCGTACACCTTTGTGTTGGGATGAGGTTGGCATGACCAAACTTGAGAGTACAGAATTGGTGGAAATCACCAAGTCCAAGGTGAAGATGATTCGTGAAAGACTTAAGGCGGCCCAGGATAGACAGAAGAGCTATGCCGATAAGCGCCAAAGAGCCTTAGAGTTTAAGGTGGAAGATGAGGTATTCTTGAAAGTTTCACTTTGGAAACGAATCATCCGATTTCAGAGCCGAGGGAAACTTAACCCACGCTACATTGGGCCATTTGTAATTCTTGAGAGAATTGGGGCCGTAGCATACAGATTGCAATTGACTCCAGAATTGGAGAAGATACATAACGTGTTTCACGTGTCTATGCTTAAAAAATATATGGCGAATCCATCTCATGTACTAGAGAAACCTCCCGTGGAAATACGGGAAGACTTGAACTATGTCGTGCAACCGGTGAAGATACTTGATAGGCAAGTCAAGAAGTTGAGAAGCAAGAAAGTCCCAATGGTTAAAATCCTTTGGAAAAGTGACCGAGTTGAGGAAGAAACTTTGGAAACGGAAGCCTTGATGAAGGAACAATATGCATTTCTGTTTGAATAAGCATTGTGAATTTCGGGGACAAAATTCCCGTTAAGGGGGGGTGAACTTGTGACACCGCATCCGGATGTACTTGAATTTAAAACTAAGTATGTATTTGAATTTTCCTAGCGATTAAAATTGTGCAACAAAAGGATTTATTTAATTAATGTGTGATTAATTAAATTATTTATCGGGTCCATAATATCGAGAATGGGCTATCAAACATTTAGTTGGGTCAATGGAATAATTATAGAAGCCCAATAAAATGCCAACCAAGGTTGGGAAAAATGTTTGGGCGACCCAAGTGCTATTTTGACCCAACCTGCCAAAAATAGCGGGAGTAATTGGGAGGAACTTTCTACACCCAAGTGGGACTTTTCCTACATGTCTTTGAGACTCTAAATAATTAAAATGGGGCAATTGGGCATGGGTTGTGCGGACAAGTCAAGGAGGAAACCTCCTAGGGACAAAACCTACACATTATGACCCCATGCACATGCCATTCCTATCATGCTTGCTCTAGCCTCATCCGCACAAGCACAACCACAAGAGAAAGAGAGAGAGCTCTGGGGGTTGACTTTCACAAACATCAATCCATAGTTGGAGGAAGCTAGGAAGAAGAAAATCCAAGAGAAGCTAAGCTAGAAGAAAGGTAAAAACTCAAATAGTTCTTTAACTAGTTTATTCTTGTATGATTTTTCCGAAATCATATGGTGGATTAAACCATGAGTTCTACACGTTTAAAAGTGTAGAAAAATGATATAAAGTGTTGGTATTTAACTTAGAAGAATCATGGAATCGATAGGAATTGAAACCGTCGGGAACCGCCAAGAAAAACAGGCTGCCCACAACTGCAGGCCACGAACTCCGCCCGGCTTTCACGAAAGCCGCCCGGCTTTCACGAAAGCCGCCCGGCTTTCACGAAAGCCGCCCGGCTTTCACCTGCAACTCAAATTTTTCACTTTCGAACGGCCTAGAACGATGACGGGTCGAAGGGCTTCGCAAAGGCAACTAGTCAAACACTCTATAAGGTGATGATGGCTGACTATATTGCTTACAATTAGTGAGTTAATTTCATGAGATTACCTAAGGTAATTAAATATGTTTTTATGGATTATTAATGATTAATAATGCCTAAAAATGAGAAGACTGTTGTCTATGAGAAAAGGAGCATGATATACAAATTTAAGAATAAATTATGTATGATCATGTGTTATGTGTATGTTGATTGATAATGGGATTAAGTATGAAATTATGTTGAAATATACTTTTTTCTTCATATAGGAATATATGAATGATTAAGTGTGATATTTTGTATATTGATATAAAGATGATATTTTCAAGGGAAAATCAGTTGAGCATTGAAAATGACCATGAATGGAGAACTTGGTTTTGTTGGAATTAATTTGACTAGTATTAATATACTAGTTGGGCATTAGAGTGAAATGTTGCTAAAATTGATCCTAAGGTTGGATTGTGAAATGGTATGCCTTAAGTAGTCTTAAGAGATGCTTTAAGGTAGGAAAGTATGAACTTTAAGTTGTACTAGGGGTAGGCCTTAAGGGATACCCAAGATAAAGTAAATAATAAATTGATCCTAGATATAGGATTAGCCTACGGGTGTGTTCGGTAGTCCTTGAGGATAGCCGGTTGAATTATGGAAATAAGTAAGGACCATGGCCCTCCTCGACTCTAGAGAGCGGGGTTGGATAGCATGGACTTGCATCGTGATCACGGGTTAGGGTGGAATCCGAATCGGAGACCTAACTAGGCTCCGGTAGCGGTAACACATAAGATAGGACCCCGAAGGGCCTTACCTTCCTACGGGATGATGAGTATGAGTCCAGGAGCGGGATGTTGAAATCCGAACCGAGAGCCTCATGAGGTCTTCTACAGCGGTAGCAAATCCCGTAGAAATAATAAGAGCCACGGGTTGGGTTGTACAAATGATAAATGCAAGGAAATATATAAGACGGACCGTGTGCCGACAAATAAATGAATTTACTTATTATAGAGATAATAAGTGTGAAATATAAATAAATATTTATATTATGATATCACCCTATTTTGAGGGTCTTAGAAATTAAAGCGTTGATTATACTTGGTATAGTTGTCATTGTACTTGTCAAATGCTTACAAGTACTGACCTCCCCTTCACGGGGGAGGTCACCTCACAGTTTCAGGTAGGAGTTAAGCTGCTACCATCGCCCGTTGCTCCGGGTAAATCAAGGGAAGAAGACGTGGTTCGTGCTTCTTCCGTTCTGTTTTAAAAAAAACTTATGTTAATGCTCATGGATATTATTTTTGAATAATTGTTTTGGGGGCTTGTATGCCTAATTATGCCAAGTGTGGCTTGAACACTCGTATTAAATGTTTCCGCTGCTTTAAATGAATATTTTACATTATGTTTGTTTATGGATGTACTATGTGTGAATGATATTCAAGACGCCTTGTATAGCATGGATGAGTTGAACTGCGGTTGACTATTCGTACTGTACGGCGGGTTGTTGACGTGTCCGGATAGGTCCTGGGCGTGACACACCTCATATATATTTCTTCTCAATCACGGGAAGAAACAACAATTAAATAGGCCCTTTATATATTTTTGAACATATCTTTCAAAAATAGTGCTTTGTATTTAGTCTAATCTAAACTTTGTTACATGAATTTTCTTCCTAAAGCGCACTACCCAAGTAAAGAAATTAACTTATTGGAACGAGGGAGCTAGTTTTAGAGGCCGTTTGGCAACACTGTTTTTTGGCTTATCAGACTTATCAGCCAACTTTTTCACCAAACACGTAACTTTTGCTTTCGCGCGCTGAATTGTGTAATAAGCAGAAAAAGTAAGGTTGAAGTTACTTTTCTGGCTGTATTGGCTGAAGTTACTGTAGATGACCATTTTAGCTATTTTTACATATAACTTTTTCTTTATTTTATTAATAAAATATATTTTAAAAATAATTTTTTCTTAAATCAGCAGAATCAGCCAATGCAGCCACTTCACCCAGAACTTTATAAATTTCAGCAGAATCAGCCAAATCAGCTGATTTTCGTGCTACCAAATGGGCTCTTAGACTTTAGTACCTGTTGTATGTTTGGAAACCTTACTGATTGCTTATCTACCTGAAACAATAATATTTGATTTCATGGGCGCCATATTAATTAGGTTATTAATAATGAGATCGAATAAATAACACACAGTACTTGATGGTTTGAATTGGCTAAAATGGCCGGTAGGATATTTTCTCTTGACTCAAAAGGTGGAATCTGTCACCCTGGAGCCCCCACACCCAGACCCGAGGCTCGATATTTTCTCTTCACTTTATTTGAAAGCTAGCTACATTTTAGACATTAGAAAGGGCGAAACTGGTGAGGATCATCTCCAAGCAAAAGAGCTCTAATAATGGATTCACAAATAGCAACATCATAGACAAGGCAGTGTCCACCATCAGGGACTTCATAGTATCGAACCCAAGGTAGTCTTCTCGACACATATCTCTGTAATTCCACGTTTATGAATTTGTCTTGGCAACCTTGCCATATCTGCATCCAACCTTTCTTTTCCGGAAATGGATCTTTCATCTCCAATGGATCAAATTCCCATTTACTAAATGCTGCACAGAAATCTGAGCTCAAATTATTGAACACGCTTTTGTCCTTCAGCTTTTCCTACAAACAATTATATCCATACCATTATGTTCGTCAAAAGCTATCAAGCACGGAAACTCTCTAACAAGAGTATGTTTCTGATTCGAACACTGTTCGGAAACTCTCCAAATAGTTACTTTTATATTAAAAGATAACGTTTCTCATTTTTCATTTCCCGTAACATTTCCTACTATTTTCAAGCGTTCAACTAATGAAGACATAGCAATATACAAGTATTTAAAAATATGCAACATTATATAATCATATTCACTTTTCATAATGAGTGAAGTTTGACTAATGATACTTTGAAGAAAGCTGATAAACTAAATGTCCCACACCTAAATGGTATGAACTAATAAAACAGTGTATAAGATCACATGTTACTCCTCCTATCAAGTGTTTCTTTTAAGATGAAATCTCAGATCTTAACATGGTATTAGTCAAGTCCAATTGTGATTTGATTTCTTGTTTAGCAACCATGATTAAGGGTAGTTTATTAAGAATTTATTTCGCTCATTTATATACTCCGATGTTGTTCAACCTGTTTTGGGATTAAGGGACGTGTTAAAGTAAATGCCACAAACCAGAACGATATAAATAATAAAACACTACGGAGTATATAAGATTCTAAACTACACCTCCTATAATTGTTTTACTACTTATTTTATTAAAATATGATAATTATATGAAACTCTGTTAAAAAAACATATGAGAGCATCAAATTTACGCGGAGTATTAATTTCAAATAGTCAGTTCCTTTCAATTAGGCATAGTTTGTTCAGCTACAAGGTCCTTTTTTATGAACATTATTAATGCACTTCAATTATTGTACTAAATTTCAAAATCTTTTCTAAACTTTATCTCAAATCACTATTTTCTACACAGTTCTTGTAAATGTTTTTAAAGGCTTCTCGAAAACCTAATGGAAGATCATCATATCCACCATTTTCTACTCATATTCGATGGCAACGTTAAATATATGAGTGAATTACCACGGTACAGGCCCACCAGTCCACCACCAATGGAGTATTCCGCCTTCAACGGACTGAAACTATTATGTAAGGAAACTCAAAAGCAATTAATTACTATGTTGCACGGAAAAGCGAAAATCTTGTGGAAACGAGAAACGGGAAACGTCAACTTTTACTCAAAAATAGGCTTCTTTGAAGAGTTTTAAAGAGTTTGTGTAGAGTTTCCGATACGTAAACTCTACAACATAGATTAATTATATTGATTAATTAGAATAGCTAGGGGTGGTAAAGGTACAAAATTAATGTTTAATTAATTTTCCGTGCAACATAGATTAAAATACGTAAACGTACCAATACGTAAACGTACTCATTCCCTAGAGTTTCCGTGCAACATAGATTAGAATAGATTAACATAGATTAGAATAGCTAGGGGTGGTAAAGGTACCAATACGTAAACGTACTCATTTCCTAGAGTTTCCGTGCAACATAGATTAATTATATTGATTAATTAGAATAGCTAGGGGTGGTAAAGGTACAAAATTAATGTTTAATCTATTTTTGGAAGAATGGGGCTTAAATTGATATCATAGCATTCAGATAGGGGGTAAAACGACAAAAGGACCACAAGAAACCGTCAGCCCTCGAATCAGACTTAGAATCAATCACCTTCAAAAAGGCAATATGACTCGTTGATCCTATAATGGGCATAAATGAGACAACGGCGGTTAAAACAGACCTCTCATCACCCAATCCTAATGCAAGAGTCTTACAAAAATAAAAGTAACCAATAGAAAAATAATCATGAAAAATAAATAGCAAGCAAACGTTAAAATTAAAATGATGCTTCCAAATCCTAGACTCTCCTGCACTCCATGGCGGCGGCTCAGGAGGGGGGCGGTCCAGCAGTACTGTAGCTTCTTCCTCTCTTTGCATCTTATTCATCATGATCTCTACCAAGCCTCCTTTGTCGCCACCTAACACGGATGCCCTCGAATCCAGATCCGTTCCAGCCCCTAGCTCCACGCTTCATCCATGACCCTTTGATCTCAACCATGAACGACATCCTCAAAACTCTCCACCTGTTGTCAGGGGTGCACAACCTTTGACCGCCATATAGGCGGTGTGGCCTGCCGAAGAAGAAACCTCACGAATGACGGAAGAAAGCCGCACTTCGTCAAAGACGAAAGCGGAGAAAACATCCCCTAAATGTAGGGGAGACGGTCGCTGCTATGCTAGGGTTTCTCTCTTAGAGAGAGAAAGAGCCGATTAACAGATTAGATCTTATTTTAATGTTTAATCTTATTTAGAAAAGATTTAAGTTTTACTCCTATTCATGCAAATATGTTTATGTGTACGGGTAGATCATATATTTACCATGGTTTTTCTTCCCAAAAAATAGGACGAGCTGCTCTAGACATTTTCTAGCCTATAACTAGAACAAACTTATATAGGTGACACAACACTAGATTAAATCAGATTTGACTCAATTTAAATCAGATTAAAATAAGTTAGATCAAATCAATAACATATACGTAGTATAATAATATCATAACAAAAAAATCAGATTTGACTCAATTGAAATAAACCATATCAAGCAAGGGCAATACATATAGAGAGACTTGGAATGGAAAAAGTGCAAGATGATTACCATAGTGGGGGAATGATGGCCATTAGGAGCATTCTTAATAAGATCTCGGTCCCGGTCGCTATAATTCTTGTCATTTCTGGCCGGGTTTCGGGCAGCCCACCAGTGACCCAACCACGGAGCATATTTTCCGATCAAGATCATGGCCCTGTAGATCCTCTTTCTCCCGTCTTTCTTGCTCAGAATGTCCGGGATCGACGGCCACTGATAGTTCACCGGAGGAACCACCATCGCCACCCCTAAAAGCCTATGTGGTATCCGTTTCAGGCAGCCCCACGTCGGGTATGAGCCCATCGAGTTGCTAATCAAATAAAACTTCGGCCCGATCTTTATCCGATCCGCTAATTCCTCAATGTCCGATGCTTCGCTGGTTTGGGTTCGGTTAGGGTTCGGGTCACTCTCTCCATATCCGGCCCGGTCAAATAGAACTAAGTACACTCCCAACTCCTTCATCAAGTCCTATGTATTTGAAATGAATAAAGGAACATTAATCAGACTAAGAGTAACATGTGTTTGAAATATGAATCATCATTATCATGATTAAAAAATACTTTAATAAGAATAAATACTGTCACGTCAGTGTCTAGTAGTGCAACTATTTAATCTTTTTTATACCTCGAAGGGATCTGGGGAGGGGTTGAGGGCTTGGAATAAATTGGGGTCAAACTCACTCTGTTGAATTTTGAATCTGTAACTTTTGATACGAGATTAAGTCAGCGATCACTTGAGTTAGACCGCTTACTCAGAGCAAGACATCAAGTATTTACTCTTATTTGGGAGAAAAACATAAGAATTCTAATTGAAAAATCCAAAATTCGTTTACTCTTGTTTCATGAACTTTCTCAAGAATAAAGTGAATCACTCAATCTAACATACTATCTGAAAAAACCTCAATTAAACAATTCAAGAACGTAACAAGAATTTGAATTTACTATCTAACTAGACAAGAATTGGTATTTTATGTTTAGCTGCTTTAGCACATATACCTCGGGTGCAACAAAGTTCATATCTTTGGAGCTGTCGAAGCCATGAACAACTATTACTTTGTATTTGGACTCCTCTTTTGGGACGCCTTTTTCTATGTACGAAAGAGATCTCCCATCCCTCAAAATTACCTTTTTCGATAGAGTATTGTGTCTCCGGTGGCCGCCGGCGGGATTGAGGTCCGGTTCGGAGTTACAGAGAGGATCGTAAACAGACATGATAACGTGTTTTCTCAGAACACTTGTTTTTTAACTGCTAAAACAAACTCTTGTAGCTTTTGTAGTAGTAACCTGTACGTATACCAACGCATACAACAACTTTCGCTAATTTTTTTAAAATATCCGACATGTGAATTAAATATAGAGAATAAAATAAAATTATTCAATATAGGGCTAAAACATATACAAATTTCAAAAATATGATTAAATATATTTTATTTTTCAAATAGAACTTTTATAATTTTATTCAAAGACTAACTTGGTCAATTAATACTCCGTATGATTCAAGATGAATCAAATTGTTTCCTTGTATGCTTTATTTTATCTCTGATATCTTTTAACCTTTTATATTAATAAAATCGAGAGGTGTTCCACTGCACTCCCCCCACCTAGCGTGGTTTACTCCGGGAAAAAGGAGAAGAAAAAAGAGTTATGCTTTGGAAATAAAACAAAGATAATGTTATTTATGAATTTTTAATTTGACTAGTTACAGTTCTAGACCAGATTAAACTTAAATAGATTAGACCACTTCATATCAGACATAACCAGACTAGTTCAGACCACATTAAAACTGATCAGATTAGACAAGACTGGAACAGAGCAAAAAACTATGGTCCAATGAATGCTGAAAAATTCGATCACATAACCCGGCTGAAGTTATACGAAGTAGAATGTTTTTTTGATAGTTCCAGTTTCTAACAATCTAACAATCATATGAAGTGAAGAAGAAACAGATAGAAAGATATCAAAATAATCGACGAATCTGGTATACCGTGTACAGGCCGCTGCTCTCCCTCAGAGAGAGAGAGAGCAGCGTAAAACCTAATCTCTATGTCTCGCCTCTATACTCTCAAGCCTTAATTCCTTAGGTTTTCCATAAGTTAGCTTCCTTTGATAGGAGAAGTTGGCTAACTTGTGGATTACAAAGAAGCTAATAGGCTGGTATACATTTGTGGTCCATATTACACATTTAATTAATAACTACACAAATACAAAATATTTAAATAGATTGGACACCATAAAATATTCCCAACATTTCTTAATTAGATTGATTTCAACCCCAAATCATATCAGGTCACATGAGACCAATCAGATAAAATCACACTTAACTAAACCAAATCATACCAGAAGAAAACAAACCTCAATTCAAGTGGGGAAAAGATGACACCCCATCCCTAAATATATTGAAAGTGTTGGATTGACGAAATGTATACGTAATTTTCTTAATAAACAGGTTGAGAATTTGGTTTATTGACTCCATCCCGTTGGAAATTGCCAAATTAGATTTAAGTGTGTAATAAGAAAGCATAACTTGGGTAATTGAGAGTTATGCAGAGGAGAAAACAATAATTATAACCACAATTTATTTACTCTAAAGAGAAAATAGTACTCCATAAAAGTTTTTTGGACAAATAGGAAATGAAAGTTACAAAGTCATGTGGGACGGAGATGATAGTTTTAAGAGAAAGGGGGCTAATAAGCTCTCGATCTATTTGCGATTCTGCAATCAGGCCTATGAACCAGAATACTTGCATATACACCCCTCAACTCGTTGAAAACGAAGCAATCAGATCCTTTTTATCTGCTGGTGCCGATAATTTCTCATCTTCTTACCTGCAGCACCAGGTAAAAAAGGATTTGGTTGCTTGATTTTCAACGAGTTGAGGGGTGTATCTGCAATTCTTTCTGTTCAGGGGCCTGATTGCAGAATCGCGAATATTTCGAGGGCTTATTTGCCTCTTTTCTCTAGTTTTAATAAGTATATAATATAATGAGATCATTGATGATAATTATTGTGATGTTGTAGGTGTATTACTTTTTAATATTTAATGGTTAAATTATTATTAAGAGTGTTAATGAATTTTAAAATAAAATAAAACCTTCAAGTAAAATGTTCAAAGTAAGAAAATAACCCGCATGTCCAAAGGATCGTAACTCGCAGCGGCCGTGTGGAGGTTACTGCTGTTGCGTGTTGTGTTAGACCTTTGGTGCGCATGAGTACTAGATCTACGATCATTGAGCCAATTGAATCATCGTGACTTACAATCTTCCAAATGTCTTACTGAGTTGGGGCGTGCGGATCCTTAGGGTTGGAGATTCAACTTTTTGGAACATTTAAAATAAGTAAATGAGAAAATTTAGTTGAGACAAAAAGAGTAGCTAGTATAAATGTTAATCATGTTACTCGCCACCACCAAATCACCAACTGCTTCACGCTTTCACCTGCTCATATACGGCCATACGGGGAAGGGTTAGCTTTTAGCCTTTAGCTCATCAACTTAAAGCACCAAAAGACAATATTATTGTCTAAATGAAACCGGATTCACTATTCAAAAATGAGGTACCCCATTTTTACTTCTCATATTAAATGTCTGGCCCTAATGGAACAATACATTTAAGATAGACAACTCATTTAAGGGTATGTTTGACACAACTAGCCGAAAAGATATTTTTATAATTTTATTAGTAATTATTAACTTTTAGCGACTGAAAAGATCTAAAAATCAAAAGGTAGTAGTTGTTTAATAAAAAGCTGACCTTTTAATTTAGTTCTGTTGCTATACAAGCTGTTATGACTAATCAATTCCGAAAGCTACATGCTTTTTTCAAATGCATTCTTAAAACTTAGAATGCCAAACATACAAGTAGAAGCTTTAAAGACTTTATAAATAGTATAAAAGCTAGAAGGTAGTAATTTATGCCTACCAAACATGTTCTAAATGTGGCCCTATTTAGACCATACAAAATGTGAGGTAAAAATGGGGTAACCCAAAATGGGTACCTATAGCACAACTCTTCAGTATTTATTATACTTGTCGAGATGAAAACGTCCACACTACAATACTCCATATTACTAGTAATACAAACGTCCACACTAATACCTTGTCACTCAATATTATATTACCTTCATCCCGATAAACTTTGTCAAGTTCCAATTAAGTGAGACAGGAAAAATAAAATTGTGTGATTGAAGTTTGTGCAATGTAGCGAGAAATGAACAGAATCACAAATTAATTATGGGAGAATTCCCTAAATAGGAATTAATTATTATAACAAAAAACGACAACGTTTTTTAAACAACTAAAAAAAGTAAAAAGCATACTGTTATACCGGAAATTTAATCCAATAATTTCTTTTTTCTTGAAAGGAAAAAGCAAATTGGACCGTTATTAAGCGATTTTCCAACATTAAATAATTCTGTAATTTTAACATTAAGTAATCACAACAGATTATTACATCAAGCATAACTAAATAGAGTTACTCCTTCGTCCCTAATTGAAAACTTTGATCGGCACTAAGATTAAGAAATGATAATAAATGATACTTTCTTTTTACTCTTTTGCTCATCTTTCTTAAAGTAGATGCATTTAAGTTAATGGAAAAAAGTAAAAGTAAGGTTAAATTTGTCACTTTATTCTTATTTACCTAACTAAAATAAAAAGTGGAAAACCATTTTGGGACAACTAAAATAGGAAATTTTGAAAATCAAATTGGAAGGGAGGGAGTATTTATTACTCCGTAAATAATTACTCCATACAACTTTACTCTCTTGAGATTTTTCAGATCAAGAAAAAATTATGATGAGTTGATGACCGTCAATGTGGCTATCCACTCCAAGTCTTGTACGTATAAAAAACATCGGTTTATGAGCAATCACACGTACTTCTGCTGTGGCTTTCCCTTCATACTCCGTATTTCATTACCAATGGCCCATACAATGCCATTAGAGTCTCCACCGCCGGAGAACACAATTGACCAAAACCCCAACTCCAAAGTCATAGTGGTCACTGTGCCGTTCCTGGCTCAAGGCCATCTCAACCAACTCCTCCATCTCTCCCGCCTCATCGCATCTCACGGCTTACAAGTATACTACATCGGTTTTAGTGTCGATATCAGCGTCGCTCGACGGCGACTCCAGGGTTGGGATCCTCTGGCTTATCCATCACTCCATTTCCAAGAATTTCCAAGCCCTCCATCTTACATCTCGGGCGCCAACCCGGCCACGGAGCTGGAATCCTTCTCCGACATCATGGCCTCCGTAATCGAATCTTGCGACAACCTACGCCACCTCATCGCGGAGTTTCTCGACGGCCTCTCTAGGAAATGCGAGAGGCTAGTGGTCGTTCATGACTCACTCATGGCGACCGCTGTTCAGGATGCAGCTTCCATTCCCCACGCCGAGGCCTACACCTTCCACGCCGCGTCAGCTTTCACCAACGCCACCGTTGTATGGGAAATCGGCTCCAAAGTGCTCCGCATCCCGCCCTTCCTTTCGAAGCTGACCGGAAAGCTCCTCCTGCCTTCCATGGCAGTGATGCCAGACTCTCTTCCGTCCTTAGAGAGCTGCTTCTATCCCGAGTTCTTAAAGTTCATGTCCGTGCAACGCTCAGCCAATACCAAATTCTGCTCCGGCAATATTTATGACGCGTGTAGACCGGTGGAAGGCCCGTATCTTGAAATGCTCGCCAAGTTCTATAGACTCACCGGAAAAGGGAAACTCTGGGCTATCGGTCCGTTAAATCCGGTGATCACCCAAGAACAGAGTGAAGTCAGTGAACCCAAATCTTGTCTTCGTCATAGAAGTATTGAATGGCTGGATAAGCAGCCGCCGAAGTCGGTAGTTTTTGTTTCATTCGGAACTCTGACGTCACTTTCCGGGGAACAGATCTTGGAGCTGGCAAAGGGCTTGGAACAGAGCCAACAGAAGTTCATATGGGTCGTAAGAGACGTTCTGAAAGGAGAAACACCGCTGCCGGAAGGATATGAAGACGAAATACAAGGAAAGGGTCTTATACTCCGAGACTGGGCCCCGCAGATGGAAATATTGAACCACCCCTCGACGGGAGGGTTCTTGACCCACTGCGGGTGGAATTCGTGCATGGAGAGCATAGTCAGGGGAGTGCCCATGGCGACGTGGCCGATCCATTTCGATCAGCCGAGGAATGCGGTGCTGATGACAGAGGTGCTCGGAATCGGGATAATGGTGAAAGAATGGGGTCGGCGGGATGAAGTGATAAGGTCCGATGTCATCGCCGATGCTCTGGAGAGACTGATGGTCAGGCCGGAAGGAGCAGAGATGAGGAGAAGGGCTGTAGAGCTGGGCAAAGCTTTGAAGCAGTCTGTGAAAGATGGTGGCCTTTCTCGAGTTGAGATGGCTGATTTTATTCATCACATGACTAATCCCATGGCACCTATGGGTGCTTATGGACGGTTCCCCTTTTCGTTTTTGAAAAACATTTGGTACTTTTGGTTTGGAAACAACCAAAAAAAGAATTTTTGAGTAACTCATAAGCATGAGTATTTAATTGAGTACTAAGCCTAAGGAAGTAAGGTGTGGGCTTAGTTTATAAGTTTTCTTTAATAATACTTGGAGCTCGTTTGATGAACTTGTTTTTTGTTAAATCAAATTTATTCGTCAACTTTTTCATCAAACACGTTACTTTTGTTTTGCGCGCTGAATTGTGTAATGATATTGTGGAAGATAATTATGTGACGGAGGAGAATTAAATTATCAAGCTATCATAGAATTATGCAATCCCTAATTTAATTTGTGTTTATCTAAAAATAAAACATACAACTCTCAAGTTAATTTGTACACATAAAAAATGTATTGGGGGTGTTTGGTTATAAGCCTATCAGCCATTTTTTGGTTGATTTGAATGTATTTAGTTTTTTGACGAGATTAATCAGCTGATGATAGTGTTTGGTTAGCTAGATTTTTTCAATTGGCTTTTTGCCCCAACTAAGAGCCAAAATATAGAAACGCCAACAATTATAGCGTTTACCATCGACTGTTCCACAAACTTCCTGTATTCACTTCATATATCAATCTTATACGACAAGAAATTTGATAACGATGGTTAGCTCTTGGAGTTCAGTTCAAGGGAGGGGCTAGCTCTTTAAGGTTTTGAAATGTGTGACCTGCTAATGTTGTCTTGATGGATTATAGGGTATCCAAAGTATATTAAAATGGAGAGATTGAGCTAGATAATTGGAGGAAGAAGATGAATGAATAGTGAATTGTTTAATTAGGTTTACAAGAACTCCCTAAGGGAGTATATATAGAAGAATATCCGGGTCTGGGCCTCTAATATGGGCCTGACAGACCCGGTTACATAAATGGACTGATAATATAATAGGCTAATCTAGAACACCTGAATAATAATAATGTACAATAATGAAAATGCTATCAGCTGAGTGTACGTGGGCCGCTGTCTGGGTCCAATAGTCGTGAGACCCGGGGGTCCGAGTCTATATACTCTATCAGGAGTCCCCCACTCTCTGAGTCGAGAGTATTCGAGGCGAAAGAGAGTAGAACTGTGTGCTGATCTGTCGTCGTCTGGTGAGTAAACTTCGTGAACAAAATTTTGAATTTCTGCTTCTTTGGTTAACGGAGGCGCTAAGTCCCCCGCTCTTCCAGTCCTCCACTCCTTGAGGCGAGTGTAATGAGGTGAAGAGGAGTAGAGTAATGCGTGTCGGATGATGTCTTCAATAGGGGGCCGAGGGTTGACACCTTTTGATCCACCATGGGGAGATGCCTCGTTAAAAACCTCATTAGGAAAAACCCTGTGGGAAAAAATCCTAATGAGGGAAAAAGAGTACACCGGATGCCCCCAAAATGAAACAAAAGGTGCGAACCCTTCGGCCTGGAGATGGAGCTGCAACGGTGCCCGTCTGCTGGGGCGATGGTCGAGGCCGATCTCTAGATGTGGGTAGCTCATCATGATCAGTAGTCCTAGTCATCAAATAAAGATGACTAAGGGATGGGTCGAGCGACCGTCCACAATATGATGTCTGGTTCATCAAATATAGATGACCAGAACGTAAGGCCGATGGGCCGAGAGGCCTGTACGAGAGCTCCATGTTGTCGAATAAGGACGACGAGGCGATGTATGGCCAAGGGGCCTGCCTAAGAGCTCCACGTCGTCAAATAAAGACGACGGGGCGATGGTGCGGCCGAGGGGCCTGCATAAGAGCTCCACGTCGTCAAATAAAGACGACGGGGCGATGGTGCGGCCGAGGGGCCTGCATAAGAGCTCCACGTCGTCAAATAAAGACGGCGGGGTGATGGTGCGGCCGAGGGGCCTGCATAAGAGCTCCACGTCGTCAAATAAAGATGACGGGGCGATGGTACGGCCGAGGGGCCTGCATAAGAGCTCCACGTCGTCAAATAAAGACGACGGGGTGATGGTGCGGGCGAGGGGCCTGCATAAGAGCTCCACGTCGTCAAATAAAGACGACGGGCCGATTGTACGGCCGAGGGGCCTGCATAAGAGCTCCACGTCGTCAAATAAAGATGACGGGGCGATGGTGCGGCCGAGGGGCCTGCATAAGAGCTCCACGTCGTCAAATAAAGACGACGGGGCGATGGTGCGGCCGAGGGGCCTGCATAAGAGCTCCACGTCGTCAAATAAAGACGACGGAGCGATGGTGCGGCCTACGGGCCTGCATAAGAGCTCCACGTCGTCAAATAAAGACGACGGGGCGATGGTGCGGCCGAGGGGCCTGCATAAGAGCTCCACGTCGTCAAATAAAGACGACGGGGTGATGTATGGCCAAGAGAGGCCTATATGAGAGCTCCACGTCATCAAATAAAGATGACGGGGTGACGTATGGCTGAGAGGCCTACATGAGAGCCCCACATCATCAAATAAAGATGACGAGGTGATGTATGGCCGAGAGGCCTGCATCAGAGCCCCACATCATCAAATAAAGATGACGGGGTGAGATATGGCCGATGGGCCTGTAAATGAGCTTCGCGTCATCAAATAAAGATGACGAAGCGATATATGGCTGATGGACCTGCGGATTAGCTCTTCGTCATCAAATAAAGATGACAGAGCGATATATGGCCGATGGGCCTGCAAATAAGCTCTTCATCATCAAATAAAGACGACAGAGCGATATATGGCCGATGGGCCTATAGATGAGCTCTTCGTCATCAAATAAAGATGACAGAGCGATATATAGCTGAACTCTGGGCTCCTTTAGCCTTTAAGCCGGAGACCGCAAGATGTTCGCTATATCTGAATAGGGGGACGAGGCGGTGGACGCCTGTCTGAATATGAGGACGACGACGCTGATGAGTCGGTCCGAATATGAGGACGACAGCGCTGACGAGCCGGTCTGAATATGAGGATGGGGCAATGATAAGCCGCGTGTCATATGAAGGCGACAGTCACCATCCAGTAAGGGATTGGCGAGCCTGGTCGCTAGATAAGGACTTCAACGTTGGGGCCGGTCTAAATGTGAGGACGAGGCGATGATAAGCCGTGCGTCATATAGGGGTGACGGTCGCCGTCCGGGAAGGGATGGCGAGGCCAATCGCTATAACAAGACTTCGACGCTGGGAGCCAGTCTTGAGATAAATAATCACGTCGCGGCCGAGAGGCCGATCGCGATGTGCGGATGACAATGATGATGAGCCAGTCCGAAATATGATGACGAAGCGATGATGGAGCCGATCGTCATATAGAGGCGATAGTCACCATCCAGGAGAGGATGGCGAGCCTGATCGCTAGCCCAACACACTCGGCGCTGATGAAGCCGGTGTTGGGATAGGGTGTGACGTCATGGCCGAGGGGCCGATCGTGATGCGATGTCGTCAGCACTATGAGGCTGATCCAAAAGTCCAAGCAGCGGTCGCCATCCGATGAAGGAATGACTGAGACCGGTCTTGGGGATAGATAATCACGCCGAGGCCGAGGGGCCGATCGTGATGTGCGGACGGAGATGATGAGCCGATCCGATAATATGATGACGAGGCAAGAATGAAGTCGATCGTCATATAAGGGCGATGGTCACCATCCAGGAAGGGATGGCAAGCCCGATCGCTAGCTCAAGACTTTCGGCGCTGAGGAAGCCGGTCTTGAGATAGATAGTCATGCCGAGGCGGGGGGGGCCGGTCGTGATGCGCGGATGGCGATGAAAAAAAACCAATCCGAAATATGATGATGGCGCAATGATGAGCCGGCCGTCATATAGAGGCGATGGTCACCATCCAGGAAGGGATGGTGAGCCCAATCGCTAGCTCAAGATCACGTTGAGACCGAGGGGTCTGCCGCGATGTGAGGATGACGACGATGATGAGCCATTCCAATAAATGATGACGAGGCCATGATGGGCCAATCGTCATGTAAAGGCGATGGTCACCATCTTGGAAGGGATGGTGAGCCCGATCGCCAGCTCAAGACTCTCGGCGCTGAGGAAGCCGGTCTTGAGATAGATAATCACGCCGACGCCGAGGGGCGGGGCATGATGTGAGGACGACGGCGATGAGGGGCCGGTCCAAAAATCCATGCAACGGTCGTCATCCGGTAAAGGAATGACTAAGACCGGTCTCGAGATAAATAATCACGTCGAGGCCGAGGGGATCGATCGTGATATGAGGACGACGACGATGAGGAGTCGGTCCAAATAATGATGACGAGGCGATGGTGAAGCCGATCATCATATAGAGGCGATGGTCACCATCCGGGAAGGGATGGCGAGCCCGATCGCTGGCTCAAGACTCGCGGCGCTGAGGAAGCCGGTCTTGAGATAGATGATCACGCCGAGGCCGAGGGGCCGGTCGTGATGTGAGGACAACGGTGATGAGGAGCCGGTCCTATAATATGATGACGAGGCGCTGATGAAGTTGATCGTCATATAAAGGTGATGGTCACCATCCAGGAAGGGATGGTGAGCCCGATCGCTGGCTCAAGACTCGCGGCTCTGAGGAAGCCGGTCTTTAGATAGATGATCACGCCGAGGCCGAGGGGCCGGTCGTGATGTGAGGACAACGGCGATGAGGAGCCGGTCCTATAATATGATGACGAGGCGCTGATGAAGCTGATCGTCATATAAAGACGATGGTCACCATCCAGGAAGGGATGGTGAGCCCGATCGCTGGCTCAAGACTCGCGGCGCTGAGGAAGCCGATCTCGAGATAAATAATCACGCTGGGGCCAAAGAGCCGATCGTGATGTGAGGACAACGACGATGAGGAGTCGGTCCAAATAATGATGACGAGGCGATGGTGAAGCCGATCATCATATAGAGGCGATGGTCACCATCCGGGAAGGGATGGCGAGCCCGATCGCTGGCTCAAGACTCGCGGCGCTGAGGAAGCCGATCTTGAGATAGATGATCACGCCGAGGCCGAGGGGCCGGTCGTGATGTGAGGACAATGGCGATGAGGAGCCGGTCCTATAATATGATGATGAGGCAAGGCGTTGGCGCCGGACTGAACATGTAGGACGGTGGAGCTGGTCCGAAGATGAGGGACGACGTTGGGCGCTCATCTGAGATGAGGGACGGCGCTGGGCGCTCGTCTGAAAATAAGGGACGGCGTTGGGCGCTCGTCTGAAAATGAGGGACGGCACTGGGCGCTCGTCTAACAAATGAGGGACGGCGCTGGGTGCTCGTCGAAAAATGAGGGACGGCGCTGGGCGCTGGGCGCTCGTCTAAGATGAGGGACGGCGCTGGGCGCTCATCTAAGATGATGGATGGCGCTGGGTGC